TCCCTGAAATTTATCCATTTAAAGGGTTCAAATCAAATCTATAAAAAACTCCAAGCCCGCCTTGCTTCACACAGCATCGATGTCAGCAATAATGGGGCAGCCGGCATCCAAGGCATTCGTCCGATGCAAATTGCTGATAGCCAGGCCTAGCATTTTTCTAGACATTGGTTGGACTTAAGGCATGGGTTGAAAATGTCTATTACGGGTCTCGTGAATCATAAGAAACTCATCATTAGCTGGACACAATGGACCTGCATGAAAAATATTTTCCTTGCCAGAATGTTTAGTATGCAATAGAAAATCATGGAAACATTAAAAGATTGAAAGCTTTTCATTAATTCATCGCGAAAACTGTTTATGTCTTTGAAAGCAATTTTGTTTTACTTTTGACTTGGAAAATTACGTCAACAGAATTGTTGCCAACGGATATAACATGCGCGATTACTTTTGAAGGACGTTCTCTACAAGTGAGGCAAAACAGCAATGTAATCCCAAACTCGACTTAGCCATCTTCAATCTCACAGCAACGCAAAGCGCTTTACGGTACGGCTCACACAGTACTGCCAAACGAATCTCTCTTCTCTCTCTCTCTCTCTCTCTCTCTCTCTCTCTCTCTCTCTCTCTCTCTCTCTCTCTCTCTCTCTCTCTCTCTCTCTCTCTCTCTCTCTCTCTCTCTATCTCTCTCTCTCTCTCTCTCTCCTCTCTCTCCTCTCTCTCTCTCTCTCTTCTCTCTTTATCGCTCTCGCTCTGTTGTGTGTGTGATGTGATGTGTGTGTTATTGTTGTGTGTGTGATGTCGTGTGTGGGTGTGATGTGTGATGTGGTGTGTGTGTGTGTGTGGTGTGTGTGTGTGTGTGCGCGCGTGTTGTGTGTGTGTGGTGTGTGTGTGTGTGTGTGTGTGTGTGTGTGGTGTGTGTTGTGTGTGTGGGTATGGCGATAATTCTGCCCTCACTACAATCATTCGAGCAAGTGGACACCCGTATGGGTCGAGTAACGTTCTCTCCTATAGCATATGTCATGCAAGATATGTCCGTCATATAGCATATGTTAGTTCATTACCCGGCCAGCGACCAAGTAATGCTCACCCGGCCTGCGCCCCCGCGCGTAGCTCACCACTCTCTGGGTCTAAAATTACGGAAGTCCGTCCCAGTGGCTCAGTTGGTTTGAGCGGCTGCCTTCTGATCCACCCACCCGTGGCAGGGTGGGTTCGAGTCGCTTTAGGGCGCTCGCTATTTGCCCCTGACAGGTATGACCTGCGGCCGGTGGCAGCGGGCGCGCTAAAGGTTAGTTGACGTCAGAAGGCAGGACGGACCGTGCCGAGCGTTGCGGCACGTTAAGCTTTCGCCACTAAATTCTGTCGTTACCTGGAATAGCGCGATCGAATGGTGGGGGTCAGGGCTCACACAACAAGCACTACTGATCCCAGAAATTCATTCATTCAAAGGGTTCGGATCAAATTTTAAAAAAAGTTCTTCAGTGCATTAGCGAGGAGCATTACTCACATAGATAAGACAGCAGTATTAGCCTTATTCCCCGGAAAAAAAACAGGAGAATGGAGATAAAGTTTAGTTGATATTTCGGCAACATGCCTTTATCGAAAAAAGCAGAAGTGCTTTCCACTCCTGCTGTCGTGTCGATAAAGGCATGCTGCCGGAATATCAACCAAAATATATCACCATTCTCCTGGTTTTTCGGAGGAATAAGGCTAATACTACTGTCTTATCAATCTCTGGTTCAGCCCAACCCAGCGATTCCATAGTCGCCGAGCTGTCACTGTGTCCGCTGACGAACGGTGCCTCCCGACACACCAAATATGACGTCAATGGCTATTTCTCACGCGACTCGTAACATCGACATGCCTTGGCAAATTACTCGTTACTGGTTCTGTCCACTGCAGTGGTTCAAATACAGACAACCTGTATGCCGTATAACAGCGGACATGAAGCGAATCGACTTCACGTGTGCTTTTTCAGTACGCCGCCGTCACCTGGAAGCCTTCAAATATTGTTAAATATCGATATATCGTTAGCACACAAACGATGCTCGGCTGCCCCCAAACATTGCACGATAGCGCCGGCGGAACCAACCGTGTCTCGAACATATCGACCCTGGCTGTCCCACAGCGGAGGTGCTAGAGCAAAAAGTCACGACCCGCGCGGATGGTCATGGATGTGTGCGTCTGCGTTTTGCTTTGCCATGTTAAGCCGCATCTCTTTTGCGTGACATGTCAGACAGGAGTCACGAGGTTGCATTACTTGTTTGCCGTCTCTGCGCATGTTTTCGTGCACGCGCAGAATAAAACTGATATAAATAAAAACACGCAGCGAATTACTTCTGAGCCGTAGGGTGGAGTTGTGGGGCAGCCATAAAAACCCATAATATACAGAGGGCGCTGACGTTGAACTGCCCTTACGTCACCCACGCATAGCAGGCTTCTTCCTAGATGAAATAATTGTGTCATCGGCTACTTTCACGTCAGTTTTAAAATTTGACCTCATGTGTCTCTGCTCTCTAATGACCTTCAAGGATGTCAAAGGTAATGATCACTATAAGGCGACAGACATCAGATCATTATCATGGTCACGTTACTCATGGATAAAGGAAGGGAGAATGGCGGAGCGCAACGGAAACATATCAAGTGAAGGAAGAGGTTTTGCGCAGTGTAACGCTATGCTCTGGTGTGAATGTAAGCCATGCTATTTTTCTTTTAAATGATACGTGGAAAACTGCAGAGCAGTTAACGTTGTTTACTCTGAACACCAGAAACACACCCGTTATCTATGTCACTACTATAGCTCAATTAGGGACTAAATAGACGTCACATTTTTAGAACGTTACGCATGACATAGCGTAGCCATGTATGGGTGGGGCATAGTGCAACCAGCGCGCAACCATGGAAAGGAAGGCTTGAAAAAGGACAAAAACCCCTTGAGTTATTTATGAATGGTCCCAAACTCCCTTACACATTTATACCACTAAGAAAACAAATAATGATGAGAAGAATGTGAACTGCGCCAGACGTGCCGTCACAGCCCCCGTCAATTTTAAAACTACAAAATGTAGCAAAAACGACTAGTTTTCACATTTTCTTCCGGTGACCCTTGGAAACGTGGCCCGCTCTCTGTTCCTTCACAATTCGAAACTTTCAGAAAGCGCACAAAGATTTGGAACTGACGTGAGCTTAGGGAATAAAAACGGCAAACAAAAATGCAGTCGTCCGCACAACGACCCTTTTCGGGGCTCAAGCTCCCAAAAGCTAAAGCAGCAGTTGAGCCATTTGTTTTGTACCACACAAAACCGATTTAATGTCAGCAGACGTCAGTGGCGAAGCCAGGATTCCGGCCAGGGGTGATCAAATCGGCTAATGAGAGGCCATTTCATTCAAGGAAAACCCTTCTTATTGCAATAGCCTTTGTTTTCAGAGGGCTTTGTCTCGGGTCCTTTATTGGTGCCTGGTGGCCCAACCTTGATGCCATGTATGGGCTTTAGACGTTAAATTTGTCAAAACGTAATGCCCCTCCCCCGTTCTTAACGAACCCGCCACCGTCAGCGGGCGCAAGTAGCCGCTGTAGTTGTCATGTCCAAAAAATATCCCGCCCTCCTCCAGGGGGAGGGAGCATAGCGACAAAGGCTCACCCGTTGGCACGTGATTGGCAGAAGCTGAGTGCTGGAGTATCTGGCCTCGGTAGGCCGCGGGCTGCGGCGACTTTGACCCGACGCCCGAGTATGAGCGGCCGCCGGACACCACTCGTCTCGAATCCCAGTCGAGCTGAGTATCGCTGGATCGAGTGGAAACCAGCGCATACCGCTGCCATCCGGAACATGGAGGCGATGGGCGGGAGGCGTTCATATTGTCCAAGGTACTGAATGTCCAAGGGACAGAATGTACAAAGTTCATAATGTCCAAGGTACACAATGTCCAAGACGAGAAATAACCTCCAAAATAGTGCAGAAATGGACGCCCGGTGCGAATTCCCCGGCCTCCGTAGCGCGCTACGACGGCAATGGCGGACACAGGCCCGTCGGAGGCGTCTGGCGCGGCCGCGAGGTGGCGCCGATCGAGCGACATCCGTGCTGAGCACGCGGCTGGCTGAGATTGGTTTCCGGTTCCGGCTGCTCCCCAGCCCCGAGCGTGACCTCGCCCTGAGACCGCGCGCCGGCAGCGGCCGTGTTGTTCGCGTCTAACGCCGCGAGGGCGAACGCTCCGCGGCCGGTGGCGAGCCGTGCCATGTCTGTGACTGGGTGAAAACTCGCCGCTGCTGCTCTGGCCTGGTTAAGGCGTTGTCCAGCGACCAGCAGAGTTGGCGGCTGAGTCCGTAGGCGGCTGAACCGCCGCTCACCAGCGGCGTCGCGTGCGCAGCGCCTGTCCGGTGCCGCGGTCTGCACTCGACTCCGCGGGGGAGCGGGCGGCAGCAGCTCCACAACGACCCTCAGGCTCGTCTCGCGACAGACGTCACCCGACCACATGCCCCGCGCCCGCATCAGAACGTGATATGTCCGCTACTGCTCGTAAACATGATGCTCGAGGTTAGATCAGACTCGGGTGAAGCGCTGACGCGCGAGCAGACAAGCCCGTGCACCAGAAGCGGTGGTCGGCACGGGGAAGGTGCCAGGCACCGGTAGCTGAGATTCCGCCAGGGATAGCGCTGGCCGGTCGCAGTCGCTCACAGACCCTCCGGTTCCCCTCCCCCCGGAATACCCCTACCATTATTCGCCCACTGCCGCTGGGAATCGTTACCAGACGACCAGGCAGGCATGAATTGTGTGGGCATATATGCCACCGGTGAGACCCGCGGCTCGCCGTAGTTACACGCTAGGTTTGCTAGCGACGAAAGCCGAGCAAACTAACGCTAAAGTAAATCAATATAGCAAGGCCTTTCAAAACGGCCCTGCCATCAAGATCCGTGTCCCGCGACGAACGGCGATCCACAGCCAGCAGTCTTCCCCGCCTCCTGCGCTCGGCCCCGACCGCGGCTCACCAGCGCGACCAACAAAACCAGCACCAATCGACGGATAAGTTTTATTTACAAAACAGCCTTGGCGGCGCGACGCCGGCCGCCGACGACGGAGCCACCGCCGAACCGGCCCAAATAAAATCCAACACAAGCAACAGCGCCAGTAACACGGCAGGAGCGGCGCGGGTGGCCGGTCGGCGCGGGCCGCGGCGCTGCGGGCGGGGGTCGGTCCCAGGAGACGGCCTCTGCTGTCGGCTGGAGGCGGCTCCAGCGGGCGGCGGTGGTAGTCCGGTCTCGCCCGCACCGAGCCCTCGGCGCCGGCAGCGGCGCAGGCACCGCGCCGACGCGCCCACGCCACTCGAAGGCGATTAACATAGTAAAATATATGACCCCACTACCCTTACCCACTCAGCAGCGTCGCCCGACACGCAACGATCGGCTAATTTGTGTAGCATACCAGTCAGTCACTCTGACGCCCAGGCAGGCTTCGTCAGCGCCGAGCGCCGCCGGCGGTCTCGCCGCACACCATCCGCCACTCGCACCGGTCACTCGTTACGGCCCACTCCGGCACTCCGTCGTCGTGCGCCCACTCCCACTCTCCGCCCAGTGATGGCCGGTTGCCAGTCGCCGCAGCCGGCCGGAGCGCGAGCGTGGCGCAGCAGCAATTGATTCTCGCGCCGTGTTGTCTAACTCACCGCCGTCACCGGTCCGCCACGGACGGACGTCCATTAGATGCACATAACTCGGCTGGCGGCCGGGCAGCAGGTGCTCATAACGCCGCCTACGTCAGCAGGGCGCGGATCTCCTTGTGCAGATGGCACAGGTAGTCGACGTACGAGGCGGAGCCGTCCGAGCCCTTGTCTTCCACCAGGAAGTGGCGCATCACCATCTCCAGCTTGTCTCGCTGCCGTACCACAGTCAACTGCGCGGTCGGAGAGACCGAGTCAGCCCGCAGACAATCGGAATCCACATCACGTGACGCGTCCGTTATCAGCACCTCTCGGAGGGAACCAAGGGAAGCGGCATGTCCAAAACGCCCAGGACAGGACCAACTTATTCAGCGTAAAAATTTTGTTTCCCATTCCCGTTTAAAACATGAAATTTCAAGAGCTGCATTTTGCACCCACACGCCACATGACCTCAGCAGTAAACGACCCTCCCCCCTAAAAAAAAACTATGTACAGGTGGACTACAACTAAACAAGACGCCCCTACAGTTGCTACATGATGCTACAGCTGCCGGCGTTGAGGCCATCGGCCATGACATTTCTGGAGAAGTGAGCACCTCTGACCCCATCTCCTTTGCTGGCGCGACTTATTCAGCCACTGTCTATGCGCCGCTATTATCGAACCACGGCAGGCGGCCAATGTCGAGGAAACATATCAAGGAAAAGAACAAGACGCATGTACAGCCAGGTGGCGGATGTATGTCAACAAAACGACACAGACCTAACGTCCAGCGAGAGGCGGGGCTGGAGGAAAAGGTAGGGGGGGGGGGGGGCAGACCCACCTTCATGTGGCACTGGCGCTCCGTGCGGACCTCCTCGACGATGCCGCGCACGCGGATACTGAGCGGCGTGTCCAGCTCCGGCAGACTTGGCCGGTCCACGTCAATCTGCTCGGCACGTGACAGAGCCCCCGTCACAGCCGTCACACGGCACAGACTCCGTCACAGCCGTCACACGGCACAGACTCCCATCAGGGCCGTCACACGGCACAGACTCCGTCACAGCCGTCACACGGCACGGACTCCTGTCAGGGCCGTCACACGGCACAGACTTCGTCACAGCCGTCACACGGCACAGACTCCCGTCAGGGCCGTCACACGGCACAGACTCCGTCACAGCCGTCACGCAGCACGGACTCCTGTCAGGGCCGTCACACGGCACGGACTCCTGTCAGGGCCGTCACACGGCACGGACTCCTGTCAGGGCCGTCACACGGCACGGACTCCCGTCAGGGCCGTCACACGGCACATACCCCCGTCACAGCCGTGTCACACGGCACAGACTCCCGTCACGAGCATACCCCACAAGGAATATCCGGCAACACACGCAACTATCAAAATGGCTAAATTGGCACCAGAAATGCAACATGCTTTCTGACACAGCGTTATAACATGGAACGTGCTAAACGCTTCACAGCAAGTTCATAAGCCATCTTGCAGAACAGAGCGCGTCAACACGTGCACAGCTGTTTGCTGGCGTCTTCCCGACCTGCTCCGGCGGACAGCTGGTCTGCCACGTCCCCAGCACGCTAGCTCATCCGGCACGCCTGATCGACACGACACAACACAACACAACATATGACACGACACAACAGACAGCACAACAAATAGCATGATATAGTGAAGGGCACAACACAACACAAGACACAACACATGATACGACAAAAAACCACACGTCACAATAAACGACACGACACGACAAACGATACAATACAATGAACACGACACAACGCACGGCACAACACAATACATGACAGACCGCACGACACAACAAACGACGCGTCACAATAAACGAGGACACTGCAAACTAAACGACACAGCAAAACAAACGACACGACACAACACACGAAAAACACACAGATGATATGGCACAACAGGACACGATAGAGCACACATGGCGCGACGCCACACGAAACAACGCGACAGGATACATGACAGACACGCCACTCACCTGGGCCACCGACTGGACGGCGAACAGGTCCTGCACGACGTCCGGCGCCAGCTGCAGGCCCACCCACAGGAACAGGTGCACGCCGTTGTCCAGCACGAAGAGGCCGGCGTCGTGCAGCTTGTCCTGGCTGCACCGCACGGGCGCCGGCAGGGCCGTGGCGTCCGGGTCCAGCCCGTCGAGCGGCAGCAGGCGCGGGTACAGGTACGGCACCGACCGGCGCACCGGCAGCGACGTCACTAGGTACATGTGGTTCGAGCGCTCGTCGATGGTCAGCTCCGGACCTGGGGACCGGCACCAGCCGTCACCAGAGGTCACAAGACGTCATCAGAGGTCAACAGGTGCGTGTGCCGTGAGCGCTCGTCAACGGTCAGCTCCGGATCTGGAGACTGCCACCAGCCGTCACCAGGGGTTACAAGACGTCACCAGAGGTTATCAGGGGTCACCAGTGGTCACCACTGGTCACCAGCTGTCACCCAGTAAATGTGGCGCGAGCGCTCGTCGATGGTGGTCAGCTCCGGGCCGGGGGACCGATACCACAAGTCGTCTAAGGTCACAAAGGTTCTCAAACAACAGGGCATCGCCGATAAAGGCCACCGCAGGGAGTCGTCTAAGTTCAAGGGGATATACAGCGGCTGAAGCTTAAACTAAGGCCGGCGAATCTTGGTCAATGCCCCAAGTGAGCTGGACACGAAAGGGCGGTGGTGTCTGACGTATGGGGCGTTGTCGCGACCTTTCATACTTTTAACGAACTAGGCAACATGGATTATTTCGCCCTGTGGTTTCCATAGCCCTGGTAACGTCATCGGTCCGATAGACGTTGTGGCAACGACAGCCCACAACCCCGAACTCCCCATTAATCACCCAGCGAAGTTATTGCCTGACTGATAACGTCGCCGCGACCAGAGCTCTGGCCAAATTTACCTAGAAACAAACGGTCAAGCAGGCTAGCGACCCTCCATCGACATGACACCTTCACATGACATCTGTGCCGGCCAGTCGCGGCCGTACCCGCTCCACCACACCCCCTTTCACCTGGGTTGCCACTAGCTGCCCATAAGACTCAGCTCGCGCACGTCACCACCAGCCGTCCATAACTTACCGCCGCCGACGGCGTCGCTGCGTAGGATGCAGTTCGCGTAGAGCGGCAACAGTTTCATGCACTCGGGCAGGATCAGCTGGCCGGCCGAGCTGGGCGAGGCGCAGTTCTTGCGGTAGCTGGCCAGGATCTGGGCGCACTGCGCCGTCAGGGAGTCCCGGATGGCGCGTGGAGACGAGTCCAGCACCTTGGAGACGGCTGCCGGAGACGGCGGGCCAGCCCCGTCAGGTGATGCCCAGAGGGGAGGGAGCGGGGGCCGCAGTTGAGCACACAACAAGGAGACAGAAAATACAAGGCGGCCACAAAACGCATGCACATTGGTAAAACAACCAGCATAGCATTAAATTCGTAACTGAATCTGGTACGCAATCTGGTTTGTCTTTGAGGTTCGCGACAATATTTGCATCATTGATTGGTCCTGCTGGACTATGTTTTTTTTGTTGTTTTTTTGTTGTTGTTCTTTCGTATTGACTGGCTCTGGCTGGAACTGTATTTACACCAGTGATCGTTTCTATTTTGGCATACAGCTGAAGGCGATGTTTATTTAGGCCCCAGACTGACCCTGCCTCCTTAAGACCAGCTTGGCCTGTCCCTGGCATGGCCCCCAAACTAACCCTGCTTGACCATGAGGTTGGTGATGGTGTCGAGCTCGCAGCTACGGTACAGGTCGGCCATCTGGCTGCACACGTTCAGGCTGAGGTTGAGCACGCGCAGCCGGCGCTGGCCGCTGCTGGCCGTGTACAGCAGCGCCGCCTGGATGTACACGCCGTCCTCCTCGGTCAGCTTGTCGTCGTGCTTCAGCTCCACGGTCACCGCCTGACGGGCGGACGGCACGAGGTCAGAGGTCAGGTTAGATGTCAGAAGGCGAAGATCAGAAGTCAGAGGTTAGAGGTCAGAGGGCGGAGGTCAGATGTCAGAGGTTAGGGGTTAGGTGTCAGAGGTCAGACGTCAGAGGTCAGAGATTAGAGGTCAGAGATCAGAGATTAGAGGTCAGAGGTCAGAGGTGGGAGGCCGGCAGCGGCCACGCGCCCGCTCACACGGCGCCGCGCAGCACACCGCCACCACTACCCGGACGGCAGTACACTCAGCGGCATACAGAGTACACCGCGGCATGCGGCGGCGCCGAGATGGCGCAGAGCAAAACACAGATCCACGGCGGTGACAACAGATCCAGAATGTGTTACATGGGACAACGTATAAGACAGGCTGGGCGCCGTACGCTCCTCGGGAGACGCCCATCCTTACGGAGCCGGCAACAGACCACCGCTTCACGTCCACCGTGGCCGGCATCAGGTGCACGGCTGACGCCGGACACCTCGCCTAGCGTCAGCCAGGCACGGGCCGGCAGCGCGGCCCCCGGTACAGCGCGCCGGCCGGCGCCGCGCCGAGCCGGCCGGGCGCGGTCCGCAGCCGCCGGCGCGGCGGACCCGGCAGACGGCGGGACCGGCCGGCCGGCAGGTGGCGCTCGCCCACCTGGCTGCTGTCGATGGCCGCCAGCTCCATGTCGGTGGTGTTGGACATGTAGAAGTGGCCGTGGAAGTCGACCGGCCGCACGCCCGTGGACGTGCGCACGCGCATGATGGCGTCGAAGCCGGCCGGCTGGCCGACGGCGCGGCTCAGGTCCCGCAGCAGCCGGTCGCCGTCCAGGTCCGCCTGGCCCACAGAGACGGCACGCCGTTGAACGGTGTGGACGTGACCGACATTGAACCCCCGACCTTGTGCGTGGACCGCATCCAACGGTCGACTGCTGGGGGAGTGGCGCGAGTGGGAGCAATATGCCAACCGTCCCACCGCAGCCCGAATGAATCGGAAGAAGTCGAAAGTTCAATTCATTTTTGTTGTTTCATCATTTCGATGCTTAACCTTTACACAACACTACCGATAGCAAGTTGTAACACAAATAGCGTGAAACTCAAGTATTTGGTGCTTACGGGCAAAATAGCACCGTAGGCAAATGCACAAAATGCACGTAGGCCTGCACACATCGGCAAATCACGGCTGCAACGATCCGCGTCGGTGCTATATGGTCGATGGGGTGAGGCTTCTTGTGTCCTACCAGCGGCGACGCCTACCGACGAGCACCAATTCCCCTCCCCCGCCACTGACGCCGGCGCAGCTTGGGCCCGTCCCCCGAAGTGCCGACCCCACCACCACACCTGCCCCGCGCCAATGCTGCCAGGGCCCCGCCCCACCCCACCGGGCCTGGAGCGACCACTGCACCCACCACCTGCCCGCCCCACCTGGCCCGGCGCCTCAACAACGCCGCGGCACGGCTACAGACACCGGCTCACAACAGCCCGTCGCGGTCGTGCCGGGCTTCGCAACACTGAACACCAGCACCGACACAGCGCCGCGCGTCCCACGACCACCGCCCTGCGCCGCTCACCTGGAAGTAGGTGTACTTGAAGACCTCGCCGCCAGTGAGGCGCACCACCTGGCCCAGCGTGGGCAGGTCGACGTACGCGTTGTTCAGCAGGAACAGGTGCACCGAGCAGCCCACCTGCACGCACTCCTGGCCCAGGTTGTTGTAGAACTGCGTCTGCGGCGCTGTGGGCACGCCCGATGGCCGTCAGTCGGCAGCCGTCCGAGCCAGGCCCGGCCACGGCCATGACGGAGGCTCACGGCCGGTACGCTTTCAAGGGCGCAGCCGCTACGCGCGCCGTGAAATGATCTCAAGCGTGCTACAGGCGCGGCAAGGTCACCAACTACAACACGTCATCGCACACGTGGCCGTGTCAGGCGGGGAGCCCGCGGGAGGGCGCGTCGCTCGGCGTCGGCGCGCCGCGGCATCACTCACTGAGCACGTGTTTCTCCTTGTCGGAGCCGAGCACCTTGCGGTCGTCCCTGTTCTTCAGCTGGCCCGGCGCCTGGCCGGTGGGCAACGACGAGTGGAAGACAAACAGACGGCCCGAGCAGTTGGCCGCCTGGTGGCAGGGCACGGGCACCGCCGTCACGCATCGCCGCCGGACAGCGGACGTCAGACATCGCCGACGGATAACAGACGTCAGGTATCACTGGCAGATAACGGACGTCAGATATCACTGACAGATAACGGACGTCAGACATCACTGACAGATAACGGACGTCAGATATCGCCGACGGACAACAGACGTCAGATATCACCGACAAACAGCGGCCGTTGGACATCACCGACAGATATCAGACGTCAGATATCACCGACAGATAACGGACGTCAGATATTACCGACAGACAACAGACGTCAGATCAGACAGATGACAGTCGTCCGCTGTTGCCACAGACACAATCTGGCAGTACCAGACGGAGTCCTCCCTGACAAAGTCACACTGTCCGTCAGACACGGACTGTTGGCGTGGTGCGCTACAATGTCTGGCGTACACCGACTGTCTGATATTGTTCGGGCTGCGGACAAGCCCGCAGTGATATAGTCACTTGTATGGTGCCAGTCCCGCAAAAACAACTAAGGCGATGGTTCGACACGATTTTTTTTTTGTCACTTACACTAAATTAATTCGAATGACAACAAAGAAGTAAAGTTTATCAACTTCCCGCCCTCTCCTCACCACACATCGTCCCGACACTTCCCCAGCCCAGCGCTCGCTGCACATGCAGAAAACAGCGCCCGCCACTGATCAGTTCAGAAGATCCAGGCCGGCTGGCAGCCTACGGCTAACGAGCCCAGTCCGGTATCGTCCCCAGTGACAGGCCCAGTGTGCTGTGGTCCGGCGCTTAGTACCATTCCCGTACAAACGCTCCCGGTGTTGGTTCCAAACAATGCGTTGACAGACTACTAGCTAATTCGTTCGTGTGATAATAAGGACGGGAGAGCTCCACCCCTCAGCCAAATTTCAGCCTTCATTTCGACACACAGTATTCCCCGGTTCACCACCTGCCGCACAAGCACGTCAGCTCAGAACAGCCCAGCCGGGTGGCAAACTACGACTAACAGGCCCTGTTAAGTCACTGTTGTCCCCAGCACGGCGACAATCTCACACTCTTCAACATAAACGACTCAGAATTAAGTGCCACCTTCCACACAAAAAAAGATGCCCTCGCCACTTCTCCGAGTCAGAATCTGCAGCCACCACACGCCGCGCACGTCTGGGCGGCCCTCGCGCCCCGCCAACACTGCACACAGCAGCCAGCGGCGGCACCGGGGCGGGCCGGCGCGTGAGACGCACCTTAAGCGCCTCCATGCCGGCCTGGACCGCCGGTCCCAGCACCACCTCCGTCTCGCGCGTCTGGGCGAACATGGCCGGCAGCTGCTCCATCAGGCTGTCGATGACGGCCTCGGCCTCGGAGGCGTCCACCAGCAGGCCGTCCACCAGCGGCACGAACATGTCCTGCACGTCGCCCACCACCAGCATCTGGGGCTGGGCCAGGCACGCCTGCGGCACAGCGCATACGTGGCACACACCCGGAGGCTGCTGCAGCACCGCCACAGGCAGCAGCAGCGGCAGCAGCGAGGCCACCGCGCCACCGGCGCCGTCGCCAGCCGGCGGACGTCCAGCGCTGCCGTCCAAAGTAACGACAAACACACGCGTAACTACCAGTCTTCCCGAAATAGAGTTAACGGCGTCGTTCTAATCGTCTCGACGAGCCGCACATTTTGATCCAGCGAAAAGTGCACATTAACAGTCTGGTGAGTCGGAGCCTGCCGCAGCCCCCAGTGCCTCCTGAGCGCCACCCTCCGGCGATGCCGGGCGACAGCCGGCCACCTCACAGTCAGCCAGCTCCCCCGGCCACTCACCTTGACGTTAAAGAAGTGCACCACGTTGCTGTAGGTGATGAAGCCGACCTTCATGGCGGTGGCCGCCTGGCCCACGTCCACCGGCAGCTGGCGCAGCACCTGTGGCACGGGCCGGCGCCGGCGCGCAGTCAGCTGACCGGACCGACCGACCGACCGGAGCCGGGCGATGGCCGGCCGCCGGCGGCGGCGCGCGCGCCCATGGCGGGGGAGGGAGGGGCAGGGACCTGGTCTAACTGTGGAGAGGACGACCGGAGCCGGGCGATCGCCGGCCGCCGGCAGCAGCGCGCGCGCCCATGGCGGGGGAGGGAGGGGCAGGGACCTGGTCTAACCGTGGAGAGGACGACCGGGCGTGACGGTGAGCGACTGGCAATACTGTACGTCCAAACAAACAACTACTGTGTGAAGTGAGGCGTCGCGCATAGCACACATGGACGCTTGCTCTCAGTCACCAAACAATCCCCCTCCCCCCCCCCCCCCCACCCAAAGATGGTAGCATCACTTCCCTTCTACAGCCATTTCATCTGCCGCAGTGACGACTGCCGCGCACGCTGCGTGTACGGCACGACGTTCCCCCCGACGTTCAGCGGTGCAGCGGTGTTCAGTGTTCCCCTGACGCTCAGACGCGCCCAGTCGGCGTATGCAGTCGCCGCTCTTCCGACATCTGCGCCGTCGTCGCCGCGGCCCGGCGAGCCGCGCTTTCGGCGGCCTTACCTCCTTCATGTTGTTGCAGAGCAGATGCACGAGGCCCGACTTGACGTTGTTGTAGGACACGTCGATGATGAAGATGTAGGCCGGCGGCTTCGGGATCTCGTTGTTCTGCGGTGACACAGTGCTGGCCGTGAGACGGGAGGAGCCACCACGTGGAGGGAAACGCGGACATGCGCCACTGCGGGCGGGCATCCAACACCACCACACGGCGGGCACAGCGGACACGCGCCACTGCGGGCGGGCACCAGACACCACCACATGGCGGGCACAGCGGACACTCACCACTAGAGGCGGGCACTAAATACGGCCACACGGCGGGCACAGCGGACACTCGCCGCTGAAGGCGGGCTTCCGACACCACCACACGGCGGGCACAGCGGACACTCGTTACACTCGTTACAGGGGGGGGGGGGGGGGGACTGGCACACACGCACACACTGAGGACGTCCGAGGACGCACAGGCGCACGCCGGGTCAGTACACCGCCAGTACAGACGCTGAGTGACGGTTGGGGGAGGGGGGGGGACACCATCTGCACGGTCAAGCCTGTTCGTGCTAGCTGAAGGGTGATTGGCTGGCAGCGAGCGGCAAGCGCGTGAAGGCCGGCAATCTCGTAGCCGACTAGCAATCAAGTCCTCTGTGAAGGGAGGGATTTCACGCTGGCCAGAGGGTCGTACCCGCCCGCGGCACGACACAGTTTTGCGGTCCGCAGCCCGGCCAGACTTGTCCGAGCTCACAAATGAAAACTGACATGCTCCGTTAACCCGATCAGACGCTCTACCGCGCCACACGCGTCTGATCTACGGCCCACCCTGATCCCGTTCCCGTTCCCGTTCCCGCTCCCGTTTCCGTTCCCGTTCCTGATCCCGTTCCCCTTCCTGTTCCCGTTTCCGTGCCCATGCCGCTCACCCGGCAGTACTCCTTGGTGCAGACGAACTCGTAGGCGCCCATGCACAGTTCGGGCCGGTCGTACTTGTCGAGCCGCTGGCCCGTGTGGTCCAAGTGCTGGAAGTACTCCTGGGGCACTGTCGGGGCAGGCACGGCCTCAGACGGGCGGCAGCGGCGGCGACGGGACGGCGGCGGCGCACGCGGGCCGGCTCCCCGGTGACGGGGAGGCTGGGCCCCCCACCACGGACAGCACAGCCAGAGCATGTGGCGCACGCAGACACGTGGCCACGCAGACAGCATAGCGGTGACGTCATGGTGCCAGTCAGGCATATAGGCAAACAGATCAGGGGATTGCGTCCATTCATACAGGCACAGAGGCCGTGGTTGACGACTTGGTGTTGAGGTACAAAACGGAAAAATGTAATGCGCATGAGATGCACCCATGCCAAACCGAATGCACCACAACCTACCCTAATTTACCATAAAACATGAGGCAAAACCCCGAGGCCAACCAGCAGCAGAGAAGGGAGAGTAGTTCAGTGCCGTGCGTGAAAGACCGTGGGCTTGGCGCCTGGCTTCCGACAACAGTTCTGTCGTCCCCGCAGTTAGAGTTCCATTGCCGCCAAATGACCTCGACGCCCAATGTGTCCGCGACCCCCCGAACTGTAGCCACCAACGCCGAGCAGCGTCGCCCGTCGGCACGTCCGTCCTCCAGCCGGCACCACCCACCGTCGGTGTTGGCCTTGCAGAAGGGACAGCTGAAGCGGCGGCCGCCGTCGATGAAGGTCATGAAGGGGCACATGTAGGCCTTGCAGCGGATACAGCGCACCGGCCCCAGCTCGCCCAGGTCGACCACCGGCGGCGGCAGCTCACCCTCGGGCAGCTCGGCCAGCGGCGCGATGCTCAAGGCCAGAGGGATGCCCGTCTGACAGGCACAGAGGTCAGGTCAGAGGCCAGGCCACGCAGAGGTCAGAGGTCAGGTCACTGACACAGAGGTCGGGCCGGGATCAGGTCAGGCCATGCAGAGGTCGGAGGTTACGTCACACAGAGGTCAGAGGTCAGATCACGCATACGCCAAATCACGCACAGAGTAGAGGTCACGTCGCAGGTCAGGTCACGCAGGTCAGAGGTCAGACCACGCACAGGCCGCGCACAGAGGTGGAGTGGCAGGCAGTGGACCGTGGCGGGGTGCGCAGACCGTGTGCCGGACACGTCCACCGGCCAAACAGACCCATGACCAAGGCCGGCCGCACCAGCGGCACCCTGGTCAGGCACTCGCACCGACGGCAGCGGACGAGCGACACGACACAGAGTGGCGACGGCCATCTCGGCCGCCAGCTCACCAGCCTGCTCCCCGCACCAGCACGGCCACGTCCACCGCACAGTGCACACCATCCCAGCCACTGGCCAGCGACTGGTCCGCCCCTGCGCAAGGTGCGTGCACACGACCTCGCGGTCCCCGCCCGCCGGACTGGTCCGAACACGACCGTCCGTCGGAGCGCGCGGCGCCGCCACCCACCTGTTTGAGCATGTCCGGGCTGATGGGCACGTTGTAGATGGAGCTGCGCAGCATGCGTGGCGAGGCGTTGCCCTGGTCCACCACCGTGAAGCGGGTGGTGGTGAGCGGCGGCACCTGGCCCTTCAAGTTCGTCACGAACTGGCCCGCCCGGTTCGCCTGGTCGTCCGACATCACCTGGATCTGGGGGCGGCGGGCCGGCGGGCGGTGTCAGGGGCGCCGCCATCCACCGTCGGGCCGCTGGGCCAGCGCGGCGCCGGGGCACCCGCCTCACGCGACGGGACATGGCATGGGACAGGGTGTGACGTGTGGTAAACGGCGCACCACACCTGGGCACCCTCGCTTGACAGACGGCGACCGACGGCATACGAGTACGTTATGCAAGTGGTCAACATCACCTACGCAGAGACAAACACAGCATTCCAAAGAGGCACGCCACGCGGGCGCTGACATTCCCGCCCCTGACGCACTCCAACATAACACAGCCGACCCCTTCAGCCGCGTCCGCCCCGTCAAGTGGCGGCGTCTCACTCACCGGCGACGGCATCTGGTCCGGGTCGAGCTTCCTGGGGCCGGCCAGCTGGCCGCCGGGCGCCATGCCGGGGCGCGCCATGCCCGGCCCGGCAGACACCTGGCCGTAGCCGCCCGGCGGCGGTGGGCCGCCCGGCATGGGCGGCGGCGGACCGGGCGGGTAGGCCGCACCCGGCCCCGAGGGCGGCATGCCCGGCATGGGAGACGGTGGCATGCCCGGCATGGACGAGGGCGGCATGCCCGGCATGCCTGGCATGGGAGATGGCGGCATGCCTGACATGGACGAGGGCGGCATGCCCGGCATGGGAGACGGTGGCATGCCCGGCATGGACGAGGGCGGCATGCCCGGCATGGGAGACGGTGGCATCCCGTGCATAGATGACGGAGGCATGCCAGGCATGGTGGAGGGCGGCATGCCGGGCCCCGGCGGTGGCTGCATGCCGGGCATGGCCGGATGCATGCCGGGCATGGGCGGCGGGTGCGCGCCGCGCATCTGCGGACTGGCGCCGGGCATGTGGGGCGGCATGCGTGGCGAGCCCGCCGCCTGCAGGTGCGGAGGCGGCGGCGGCGCGCCCGGCAGCCCCGCAGCCATCGGGTGGGGCGGCGCCGCCCCGGCCGGGCTGGCCCCCGGAGCCGGCCCCGGCAGCGAGGCTGTCGGGTAGCGCTGCTGGAGGCCGCCGCCAGGCGCCGCCGACGGGCCGCCGTTGGTGTGCGGACTGAGCCTGCGCCGGCAGCGGGGCGACATGGTCAGACGGACACGACATGGCGCCGCCGCGTGACGCAGGAGCCGACACCAGAGGCGCAGTACAGTCGCTGGGGCTCTACATTTAACAGCAAGGGCAAGCAGCACGGGGAATCGAACCCCTCCCTCCAGTTTCCCACACGCGCCGCTTACTCGCTGCGCTATCGCGGCCCTTCGGAGATTCAAAATGCTGCTGGCTGCGTGTTACACGATACAATGGCCGGAGAACACTCCGCACAAGCCTAGCCAGACCTCGACGGCACAAACTCTCGCCGGCCCAGTCTTGCGTACACCCCAACAACCCGCGCGTCCAGCTCGGCCGAACGCTGCCGCGCCGGCGCGGAGCGATCCGTACCCGGCGGCGTGCGGCGGCTGCGGCGGGCCGAGCGGCGCCGGCGACGAGCCGTGCAGACCGTTGTGGGCGGGGCCGGGCGGGCCGGGCGGGCCGGGCGGCCGCGGGGGGCCCGCCAGCGGCGTCCGCGGCTTGGCGCCCAGCGCGCCGCCCACCGCTGGTGACATCTGGCGGCAGTGGATGGAAGCTCAGCCACCGGTGCTCGACACGGGAGCTCATTGCATGGGCGGCGTCAAGGCATGGGTCCACTGCACTACAGCATGGGCGGCGTCAAGGCATGGGTCCACTGCACTACAGCATGGGCGGCGTCAGGCCGTGGCTCTACAATGGCGCCAAGTGTTTTCTTATGCACCAATTGCAAATGTTGAATAATTCTGAAACCTCAATGCCAAGTGGAGCTCATCCCACTGAAAGCTTCTGCTCATCGTGCTCACGTCAGTGCCGGCCCTAATCCAAACGCACGTATTGCATCCACAGCGAGGAGGCATTCAAACGACACGATCACGATCACAGCGACATACATAGTAAGCCTCCATACCCATTGTCAACGCTTCATTTCCAATACCCAGCCTGTCAAATTTTCCTTAAGGCCAGCGCACCGCGGCGTCATCCCCACACGCAACGCGATCTCCACCGCCCATGTCTTGTCTTGTCATGTCTCATTGCTTCAAGCCGCACACATTTTAACCACCAGCGCCGCAATCCATGTCCGTGACTGCGGCACGGGGGCCGGCGAAACACGGCTACCGACGCGTCTCGAGACAATCCGAGCGGGCGCGGCCGGTGCCGAGGAGAGCGCGGTCGGCGCCGGCCGGACGCACTCACCACGGGCGGACCCATGTTCATGTGGGCCATGCCGCCGGTCAGGCCGGCCGGCGTGCTCGGCGTGCGCGGCGGGAAGGCGCCGGGCGGACCGGGCGGCCGCACGCCGCCTGCAACAGGCCGCCGACGGGGCGTTAGCGGCGGCCGAGCGAGCGGCGCTCCTGCCGAGCGGGGCCGGCCCGGACCGGGGTGGCCGGGTCGGGCCGGGCCGGGCCGGCCGCACGCCACACACCTGACGCTGCGTGCGTACACTTGTCTCACGCAACTACCGCAGCTACGCTGTAGGCTTCTTCATGCCACGGAAGCTCTTAAATTACTTCCGACAACTGCGACACCTGAGACGGCGATAGCCTGGAGCGGCGAGTTCGTCACGAAAGAAAGGCAACAGCTATAAAAATGAGTGTGGTGTACCAAGTTCGTCACGAGAGAAGCACAGCAGCTGTAAAACTTAGCCTGATGTGGTGAGTTCATCACGAGAGAAAGGCAAGAGCTATAAAAATTAGTCTGATATGGCGAGTTTGTCACAGGAGAATGCACCCGCTATACGACTGACACCTAAGGCACTGATGCTACCTGGAGTCTCACCACAACATGGCATGACCTGCTCCTGCCAAAGACTCACCAGGTGGCTGCTGGAAGTTGGGTGCCGGGCCTGGCATCTGGCCGTACCCCGGCTGCGGCGGCATGTACCGCTGAGGTTGTGGTTGCATCCTGATGCAGCACCCAGGTGTGGCCCAGTCAGTAATACATACAGCAGAAATGGGATAACATGGATAGTAGCAGAGTACTGCTAACATAACACATATAGTTGTCTTGCATAAGTGATAAAGGACACAGCATGGGCACATAGGCACTGGCACAAAGGTCATGTCACAAGGGTATATTAAATGTCTTTTTCTGCACTGAGATGAAGGGCAGCAACACACTCTGTGGCATCTACCACTTTGTGGCTTGAATATTTATCATCACCACATTCCATATTACCTTGCAATCAAGCTGCAAGCATGATTCCCATTTGGAATCAGCACCTTTTATTTATCATAATTCATTAATCAGAGTTCATCCTGTCAAATGCTGGCAAAGCTTGCTTGAACATACTCAACTAAATGGTTACCTATGCCAGATTAATACCTGACACACATGCTAGATTTGCACACTACAAGCCACCCTTTCTTTGTGTCAGCATTACTGAAGTAGACATTGAAGAGTGATGTAGTGTGGACCATAGGCCTATGCCTGTGGACAGAGGAAAGGAATGGGTGCCATGGTAAACCCACTTCCAATAATCTGAACTATTAACTGAATGACTTTTAATAGTAAGATGAAGCATGACAAGAATGCATAATCAAATTCAAAATCCTTTCCACCAGCAA